CTTCCCTTTATAGGTGTGTAAATTGGCTCCAGGTGTGGTCACTCATTGTCAATCAGCATGGCAAGGCCAATCCAAACATTTCAAAAATAAATCATGCAGCAGGAAGTTAAAACCAGTTAAAAAGGCAAACACATTTCAGAGTCAAATCACACAATAAAAAGGTATAAAACACACTACACTTAAAGCCATGCAATAAAGAATAATTAAAATACATTGCCATGTGACACAATAAATGGCAAAGATATGTAGAAAATAAACGTATTTAAGATACGTTCATAAGAAACGGAACGTGGGAGAAAATATCTTTCTAGAAGATATGTAGAAAATAAACGTATTTGAGATACGTTCATAACGAACGTGACGTGGGAGAAAATACGTTTCTAGCTAAACGTAATTGAGAATGCAGTTTAGTTCTGTGGGAACGTAATTTTTAGGAGACAGGGTTGAGTAGCTAATGTTAGCCTAGCTTTAATCAAACCGGTCTCGTTGTGTTGGAGACAGACCTGACAAAGCTTTATCTCAGACTTTTCACACATCAGTATCATTCTGTTGTTATTTAGGCTTCCTTTCCAGATGTTTACTGCTATTAATTCACAGCAGATTCTATGTTGGGTTTATAAAGCACCAGGTGAATACAGCTGAGTGTAGATGCAGGGAACATGTGCTCCTCTGGGTCATGAATCCAGACAGGAAGCTCTCTGGTTTTATGATCATGTGAATTGTAAGCTATCTGATCACAAGGGTATGTTATATTGACCTTTTTTTAAAATATCAAACTAGAATGTTATCAATCAATCAATCAATCAATCAATCAATGTTTATTTATATAGCCCAATATCACAAATGTTACATTTGTCTCAGTGGACTTTACAGTTTGTACAAAATATCAGTATGACAATACGACACCCTCTGTCCTTAGACCCTCACATCGTACAAGGAAAAACTTCCGGAGAAAACCCACAGTTTAAAGGGAAAAATGGGAGAAACCTCAGGGAGAGCAACAGAGGAGGGATCCCTCTCCCAGGACGGACAGACGTGCAATAGATGCCGTGTGTAAATTGAAAAGATAATACATTTGCAACATAGGTAGTCCAACTGTTTGGAAATGCATGTGTGTATAATAGGAAGATGAATCCACGAGGATATCCATCCAGGACCTATGATCCAGGACCACAGCCACGACTCAAGATCCAGGACACAGGACCGCAGGATCATCCATGACTCCGGATCCCGGCGTATATAGACACCAAAAAGAAAGACATTTGGGGAAGCTGGGTTAATGGGAACATGAGAGTACACAGGTATAGACAGAGAGAAGGAAGAAGTAAGATGTCCCCCGACAAACTAAGCCTATATCAGCAAAACTAGGGGCTGGATCTAATCAGCCCTAACTATAAGCTTTATCAAAAAGGAAGGTCTTAAGCGCACTCTTAAAAACGGATAGGGTGTCTGCCGCCCGAACACAAACTGGAAGCTGATTCCACAAATGTGGAGCTTGATAAGAAAAGGCTCTGGCTCCCATTGTACTTTTAGAGACTCTAGGAACAACCAACAACCCTGCATTCTTGGAACGCAATGCCCTAGTAGGACAGTAGGGTATAATGAGTTCTTTAAGGTAAGATGGCGCCTGCCCATTAAGGGCTTTGTAGGCGAGAAGAAGAATTTTAAATTCTATCCTGTGTTCTATAGGGAGCCAGTGTAAGGCAGCCAGAACAGGAGTAATGTGGTCCCTTTTCCTAACTCTGGTTAGTACACGAGCCGCAGCATTTTGAATCAGCTGAAGCGACTTGACTGACTTCTTGGTACACCCTGATAATAAAGAGTTACAATAATCCAGCCTTGAAGTAACAAATGCATGGACTAGTTTCTCTGCATCGTTTTGAGGCAAGATATGCCTGATTTTTGCAATGTTACGTAGATGGAAGTAGGCGGTCCTTGAAATTGATTTTATGTGGGCGTTAAAGGATAAATCCTGATCAAATATAACACCAAGATTCCTTACAGTCTCACTGGAGGCCAAATTAATGCCATCCATAGTTAGTATATCCTTAGATAATTTGTTTCGTAGATTCTTCGGGCCAAGTACAATAACTTCAGTTTTGGTCGTGTTTAACATCAAAAAGTTTAAGGTCATCCACGTTTTTAAGTCCTTAAGGCAGTCTTGAATTTTATTTAGATGATTAATTTCATCAGGCTTGATTGATAAATATAGTTGAGTATCATCTGCATAACAATGAAAGTTTACAGAATGATTCCTTATAATATTGCCTAACGGAAGCATATATAATGTGAACAAAATAGGTCCGAGCACTGAGCCCTGTGGCACTCCATGGCTAACTTTGGTTTGCGTGGAAGATTCATCATTGACACGTACAAACTGAGAGCGTTCAGATAGATAGGACCTAAACCAGTCTAAAGCAGTTCCCTGTATGCCAACTAAGTGCTCTAGTCTTTGCAATAAGATATCATGGTCGATAGTATCAAATGCAGCACTGAGATCGAGCAAAACAAGAATAGAGACACGTCCCTTGTCAGAGGCTATTAGAATGTCATTTGTGACTTTAACCAGAGCTGTCTCTGTGCTATGATGTGTTCTAAAGCCAGACTGAAAAGCTTCAAATAAATCATTGTTTTTTAAGTAATCACACAACTGTTTTGCGACCGCTTTCTCAAGAATTTTTGAGAGGAACGGAAGATTGGAAATAGGTCTATAATTGGCTAAAACCTCTGGATCGAGGTTGTGCTTTTTAAGAAGCGGTTTTATCACTGCTACTTTGAATGATTGTGGAACATAGCCTGATAATAAAGACATATTCATAATATTTAATAAATAAGTGCTAATTAATGGAAAAACTTCCTTCAACAGCTTAGTTGGAATTGGGTCTAACATGCACGTTGATGGTTTAGAAGAGAGAATCATTGAATTTAATTGTTCAAGGTTTATGGCTGAAAAGCATTCTAGTTTACTATCTAGTGTAATATTAGAACTTACGTTTCCGGGAGCTGTTGATAACACTATACTGGTCAAAGGCAAGAGGTCATTAATTTTGTTTCTAAGAGTAACAATTTTATCGTTAAAAAAGCACATAAAATCATTGCTACTGAGTGCTATGGGAATAGAAGGCTCAATCGAGCTGTGGCTCTCTGTCAGCCTGGCTACAGTGCTGAAAAGAAATGTTGCATTATTCTTATTCTCATCTATTAATGAAGAGTAGTAGGCTGCTCTCGCTTTACGCAGTGCTTTCTTATATTCATTGAGAGTAATATGCCAAATTAAACGAGATTCTTCAAGTTTAGTGGAACGCCATATCCTTTCAAGTTGTCTCGACTTTTGCTTTATTTTGCGGGTTTGGGCATTATGCCATGGAGCTAGTCTATGTTGTTTTATTTTCTTCTTTTTCAAAGGAGCAACAGAGTCTAATTTTATTCGCAGCGCATCTGTAGCACTATCAACAACATGATCAATTTGGGGTGGTGTACATTTTGTATACGTTTCCTCCCTTACATGCAGACATGCTATCGAGTTAAGTATTGGTGGAATCTCTTCCTTAAATGTGGCTATAGCACTAACAGATAGGTTTCTGCTGCAGGAGCTTTTGACTAATGCTTTGTAGTCTCGTAACAGTACTTCAAAAGTTACTAAGAAATGGTCGGATAAAGCAGGATTATGCGGTTCGACTAATAGTTGCTCAATTTCAATACCATAAGTCAGAACAAGGTCGAGAGTGTGATTATAGCAGTGGGTTGGTTTATTTACACTCTGACAAAAACCAACAGAATCTAATATAGAGTTAAATGCAACAGTAAGGCTATTTTTATCATCGTCAACATGAATATTAAAGTCACCTACGATAATTACTTTATCTGTTTTAAGAACCAAAGTTGATAAAAACTCAGAGGATTCAGATAAGAATTCTGAATAAGGACCTGGTGCACGGTACACTGTAACAAATAAGATTGGCTGCAAAGTTTTCCAGGTCGGATGCGTAAGACTAAAAACAAGACTTTCAAAGGAGGTATAATTTAATTTTGGTTTAGTATTGATAAGTAAACTTGAGTCAAAGATTGCTGCAACTCCACCTCCTCGGCCCGTGCCTCGGGCAATATGAGTATTGATATGGCTGGGTGGAGTGGCCTCATTTATGCTGACATATTCTTCATGTCTCAACCAAGTTTCAGTGAGACAGCATATATCAATATTATAATCTGATATTAAATCATTTACCAATATTGCTTTAGATGCTAGAGATCTTATGTTTAAGAGACCACATTTAATATTCCTGTTTTGTTGCACTGTAGTAGTTGTTACATTTACTTTGATTAGGTTATTATGTATGACACCTCTATTAGGTTTTACCTTAACTTGTCCTTGGGCAGACACACACACCGCTAATATTGGGTATTTTATTGGGTTCGGGATTCCTATGGATGACTGCCTAGGAGAGAGCGCAGAGAAGCGTGTAAGACTGCGACTCCGCCTCCTGGTCTCAACTCCAGTTTGTCATGGATTAAGTCCACAAAGCCCTGAAATGTTTGCCGAAATGAGATCTGCACCTTCCAAAGTAGGATGAATGCCGTCTCTCTTAATCAGACCAGGTTTTCCCCAGAAGGCTGTCCAATTATTTACGAAGCCCACATTGTTTGCTGGGCACCACCAAGACAACCAGCGCTGAAATGATGACATGCGGCTATACATATCGTCATTGATCAGCAGCTATACATATCGTTAATTCACAGCAGATTCTATGTTGGGTTTATAAAGCACCAGGTGAATACAGCTGAGTGTAGATGCAGGGAACATGTGCTCCTCTGGGTCATGAATCCAGACAGGAAGCTCTCTGGTGGTATGATCATGTGAATTGTAAGCTACCTGATCACAAGCGTATGTTATATTGACCTTTTTTTAAATATCAAACTAGAATGTTCCCCCTTGTTGTACCTTTGGTGAGAATCAGCTCCCCTAAAGTAAAGTGCTTTAAAGGATGTGTTCCTCTCCACAGAGGGAAGAGGAAGAGTGGTGTTCCTGTGGAGCAGCAGCTGTCCAGCTGTGCTCTGTGTCAGGACGTCCTGAAGGATCCAGTCTCTACCAGCTGTGGACACTGGTTCTGCAGACAGTGCATCACCTCATACTGGGAGCAGAGACCTCCATCAGGAGACCCCTCCTGTCCCCAGTGTGGAGAAAGACCCAGAACCAGAGCTGGCCTGCAGACAGCCAGTCAGACCAGCTCTGTACGAGGTAAGAGGCCGAACTCATGCAGCGTCTTATTCCTCTTCCTGGTTCATTTGTTTCTTTATTAGCTATTCTGTTGAAGAGCAAAGACATTAAAATGTTTATAAAACATTTAAACTTTTTATTGAATTAGTTTTATTGTTAGATTCTCTAAAGCATCTCCTGATTCTCTCCTGTTTGCTTCTCTGTCAGCAGAACGTGGTCTGCAGGAGGTTCTAGATGAACATAGGCTCAGTCTGAGGAGGAGATGTGAACGTGTGGCTGAAGGAACTGATCAAAGTGAAACCCTCCTCAACAGCATCTTCACTGAGCTCTACATCACACAAGGCCAGAGTGAAGAGGTTAATACTCAGCATGAGGTGAGGCAGCTGGAGACAGCTTCCAAGAAAGAGACCCTCCATGACACTCCAATCAAGTGCCAGGACATCTTTAAAGCCTTACCTGACCAGCAGACTCTCATCAGAGCGGTCCTGACCAACGGAGTCGCTGGAGTTGGAAAAAGCTTCTCAGTGCAGAAGTTCACTCTGGACTGGGCCGAGGGTTTGGGGAACCAAGATGTCAGTCTGGTGATCCCGCTCTCCTTCAGGGAGCTGAACCTGATCAAAGGAGAGCAGTACAGTCTTCTCAGGCTGCTCCATGTTTTCCATCCAACCTTACAGAAGGTCACAGCAGAGCAGCTGGCTGTCTGCAAAGTGCTGCTCATCTTTGATGGCCTGGATGAAAGCAGACTTTCTCTGGACTTCAGAAACAATGAGGTTGTGTCTGATGTCTCTCAGCAGTCCTCAGTCAACGTGCTGCTGACAAACCTCATCAGGGGGAAGCTGCTTCCCTCGGCTCTCGTCTGGATAACTTCCAGACCTGCAGCGGCCAATCAGATCCCTCCTGAGTGTGTGGACAGGGTGACAGAAGTACGAGGCTTCACTGACGCCCAGAAGGAGGAGTACTTCAGGAGGAGATCGAGTGATGAAGACCTGTCCAGCAGAATCATCTCTCACATCAAGAGCTCCAGGAGCCTCCACATCATGTGTCAGATCCCAGTCTTCTGCTGGATCACTGCTGCAGTTCTGGAGCACATGTTGACTACAGACCAGAGAGGAGAGCTGCCCAAGACCCTCACTGACATGTACTCTCACTTCCTGCTGGTCCAGACCAAGAGGAAGAAGCAGAAGTATGAAGAGGTGAGTCCACAGCAGCTGACGGAGGCTGACAGGGAGCTTCTTCTGAAGCTGGGGAGGCTGGCGTTTGAACATCTGGAGAAAGGAAACATCATGTTCTACCAAGAAGACCTGCAGCGCTGTGGTCTTGGTGTCACCGAGGCCTTGGTGCACTCAGGAGTTTGTACAGAGATCTTCAAAAGAGAGAGTGTGATCTTCCAGAAAACAGTCTACTGCTTTGTTCATCTGAGCATTCAGGAGTTCCTGGCTGCAGTCTACATGTTCCACTGTTACACCAACAGAGACACAGCGGTACTGAAGGACTTCCTGCAGAGAGACTGGCCCTATAAGAACAGTAACAGCAGAGATCAGGAGTACCCATTCCTGGATGTCTTTCTAAAAGGAGCCATGGAGAAATCCCTCAGAAGTAGAAATGGCCACCTGGACCTGTTTGTCCGCTTCCTCCACGGCCTCTCTCTGGAGTCCAACCAGAGACTGTTAGGAGGCCTGCTGGGTCGCACAGACAACCGTCCAGAAACCATCCAGAGAGCCATCAGCAACCTGAAGGAGATGAGAGGTGATGAAGTCTCTCCTGACAGGAGCATCAACATCTTCCACTGTCTGACAGAGATGAAGGACCTCTCAGTAACTCAGGAGATCACAGAGTTCCTGAAGTCAGGGAACAGATCAGAGAAGGAACTCTCTGTGATCCACTGCTCTGCTCTGGCCTACATGCTGCAGATGTCAGAGGAGGTTCTGGATGAGTTGGACCTGAATCAGTACAACACATCAGAGGGGGGTAAACATAGACTGATTCCAGCTGTGAGGAACTGCAGGAAGGCCAAGTGAGTCCAGATGTGATTCACTTTATAAACTAAAGTGGATCAGGAGTTTAATTATTCAAATAAACACGATAACATTTCTGCTGTTTAAATACTGAGAGGCGACATGTCAAACACATGAAGGACTTGAGAGGCTCCTCAGCATGTGATCACACCTCACAGCAGGACTTACAGTTATCAGTTATTATCAGTGTTGGGAGTAACGCGTTACAAAAGTAACGGAGTTACTTTTGTAACTCCGTTACAAAAGTAACGGAGTTACAGTAATATATTACTTTTTGCTGTAACGAAGTACTGTAACGTTACAATGCTCAGTAACGCAGTGACAACGCATTTTAACCCGGAATGAAATGGTGTTTTGTTTTTTAGCAATGTACTAACATAGCGAGACATTCGGACACCAGAGACTAATTGTGCGGGTAGATTAGTAAACCTGGTGTTTACCCTTCAGGCTTCGCGTCGGGATCTTCGGGCAGTTGAAAGTTATGCACCCTCTATTCAAAAAGAGAACGGAGAGATAAATACAAACTAATGGTGTCAGGTGCTCGTGACCTGCTCCGCTGCGCGTGCATCATTTCCAAAGTGCTTCCACAGCAGTGACACACATCTGGGGATAATCATTTATACGAAAGTGGTTAAAGCAACCGTGCTTTTCTTTGCCACAGTCCACTTTGGACTGCATGAGATATTTCAGGATTGCACTTTTAACTCACTTGAAATGTTCTCACTCGCTTGGTTTCAAAACATAACAAAGGCCATAATGTGTTCATTGGGACCATCAATGCTATTTCTCATTGCTGTTGCCACTATTGCTCATGCAAACCTGCTGCTGCTGGGCCCCCTGTAACCTCAGAGGCACCCGGAGTCATTCTGTTCTGGAGCCGGGCCTGCACACGGCCACATACTGAACACACTACAGAGCCCCGTGTCCTGTTAGTGTTCACTTCCTCTCTGCCTTCTTCTGGTGATTCATCTGACGTGCAGCGCTCCGTCTTTTAACCTCTTTCTCTTTCTGGATCCTCCTTAGCAACCTTCATCATAGTCCTTGACAGCGGTCTGTACTGCTGGATTAACAACGCGTCACATGTTAAGAAGTTACAATCAGAATCCAGTATTCAACTAAGCCGTGTAATACAAGTCGTCAGTAGCCTTAAGGGCTACACAGTTGTTATGCTAAACCACATCGCCCTTCACTGGATGCACAATGAGCTGCTCTAAACTACATGTTAGCATTTCAAACACCTAGCCATTCTTTAGAGGTTATTTTGGTGAAGTAATTTAAAAGTAAATAAACTCATTACATTTCAGAGACAGTAATAAGTAATATGTAATATATTACATTGTGGAAGTAACTTTCCCAACACTGGTTATTATTACTTTCTAGTAGTTTCTTTTTCATTAAACACACGATGTTATCACAATGTGTTAGAGTTTAAAATCAGATCTATATCAGAGTTATGTCTTAATGCTCATACAGTGAGAACATCTGATGGTATTCAGTTTGAAATATTGAAACTTTATTGGTTAATTGTGTTTGTGTGCGCAGTTCATTTCCAGATGCTCAGAGAAGACAAAACATCCATCATTCACATCCAGATATTTATTAACATTTAAATATCTACTTCTCTAATATCATCAAGTGATTTATTTAATTTCTGTTTATTAGGTAACAGTCAGTGACAGACATGTGATCAGATCACACTGACAACGCATTACTCTGTTATTATATATTATTATTTATAAAATGGACAAACAGCAAATCTCAATCAGAACATGTCAAATATGTTTTCATCAAATGCTTGAGGTCAATATGTTTCCTCTTTTTAACACATGTTGTAATATGTGTTATTATAGACTTGCTGGCTGTGGACTCTCAGAGGCTGAATGTGAAGTCGTGGCCTCAGCTCTGAAGTCTGACTCCTCCCACCTGAGAGATCTGGACCTGAGTCAGAACCCTCTGAAGGATCCAGGAGTGGAGCGTCTGAGTTCTGGACTGAAGAGTCCAAACTGCAGACTGGAGGCTCTCAGGTCAGTTCACTGACTGAACTTCATCTGCTTGTGTTTAGGATTTTCTGAATTTGAACAAATACATTTGGTACTAGTGTTTGTGATCAGCTTTAAAGGTCTCCTATCATGCAAAATGCACTTTCTGATGTCTTCTCTACATCACCACGTGTCCCCGGTGTGTCCCCGGTGTGTCCCCGTGTGTCCCCGGTGTGTCCCCGGTGTGTCAGGAGACTCTCAAAGTGTCAGGAACAAACCCTTCTCTCTTCTCCTCCGTACCCTCATCTCTAAAAACGGGGAACAACGGAGCTGATCCAGATTTGCTGCGTCATGACCACATTACTAAAATGTGGGCGGGCTTTAAACCCACGGGCCAATCAGAAAGGTTGCCGTCAGAAACAATGAGACGTGTTCTGGAAGTAATCTGGTCTGTGTTTACATTAGCATGCTAACACTCAGAGCTAACCTGTGCTGGAGAGAGTGTGTGTGAAGAAGCAGGAAGTCAAAAGGAAGTCACCTTGTGGTAAACCTGAGAGAGAGAAAGAGTTTGAGCTCCATCCTGTTTCAGAGAGGATCCTTGATGTGGTTTGGAACATGATGGCGTTTAATCACGGCAGCGTTTAGCTGAGTCTGCCGGGTAATTCTGATCAGGCATTAGCTCCCCCTCCTCTCTTTAAGCTAAGGACCCGAACCTGCTCTTCTCTAACAGCTGGAACAGAGGGATGTGAGGGATTTCTGAAATGCATGATCTGTTTGGTATTTGGAGCAAAACACTTCATAGAGATGTTTTTATATATTGTTATAAATCTGAGACCCAGAATATCTGCTAAAGATAGCCTGATAGGAGACCTTTGAAACCCTGTTTGACTCTGAGCAGATTATTAAACCTGGAGTTATTTCAAACAGGAACTTTGTTTTCTAAACTTACATCATCTTTTCTTTATTCAGACTGAGTGGCTGCAGGTTGTCAAAGATCAGCTGTTCTGCTCTGATCTCAGCTCTGAAGTCCAACCTCCATCTGAGAGATCTGGACCTGAGTCAGAACGCTCTGAAGGATTCAGGAGAGCTGCTGAGAGATCTTCTGGAGGGTCCAGACTGCAGACTGCAGACCCTCAGGTCAGTTCACTGACTCTCTGTTCCTGCTGGAGATCTCAGGTTTCATCAGATCTTCATCCTGATTCTTCTACGTCATTAACTAACATCCATTCAGTTGGAAATGCTGTTTTATTCATACTTTCATTTGTAGCTACTAAAGTAAGAACTGCAGACTGAAATGTCGTCTGACTCTTGAAGGAACTGTAATAGATTTTAGTTGTAAAAAGTAAATCTATGTTTTTAATATTTAGTAAACGATAGCGTCTGAATAAAGTTCATCTGAAGTGATATTAGTTTGACTTTAATAAAGTTCACTTTCTGAAGAAGACATGTTTTTGTTCCCATTCATTTAAATGTTGAGAAACATCTGATTTATAAACTGATTTTATCCTCATCATGTTTTCTTTATTCAGACTGTGGGGCTGCAGTTTGACAGAGATCAGCTGTTCTGCTCTGGCCTCAGCTCTGAAGTCTGACTCCTCCCACCTGAGAGATCTGGACCTGAGTCAGAACGCTCTGAAGGATCCAGGAGTGGAGCTGCTGAGTTCTGGACTGCAGAGTCCAAACTGCAGACTGGAGGCTCTCAGGTCAGTTCACTGACTGAACTTCATCTGCTTGTGTTTATGATTTTCTGAATTTGAACAAAGACATTTAAACTATTTGTTCCTCTTTGCTAATGACTGCATATTGATCAGAGTAACAGAGAGAAGGTGAATGTGTGAGGGAGAGAGTCTGAGCTTCCACAGACTCACCCTGAGCTCCAGGAGTCAGTGGAGATGCTGTCAGTGCTGAGGAGCTGTGAGGGAGAGGAAGGAGTTGATGAACATCTGATCAAAGTTAGAGTTCCAGATCATCAGTGGATTGTTTCTGCATCAGCTCTGATATTAAAGAGGACCTATCATGCAGAATGCACTTTCTGATGTCCTCTCTACATCACCGTGTGTCCCCGGTGTGTCCCGGTGTGTCCCCGGTGTGTCCCCCGTGTGTCACCATGTGTGTCCCCCGTGTGTCCCGGTGTGTCCCCCGTGTGTCCCGGTGTGTCCCCCGTGTGTCCCCCGTGTGTCCCCCGTGTGTCAGGAGACTCTCAAAGTGTCAGGAACAAACCCCTCTCTCTTCTCCTCCGTACCCACATCTCTAAAAACGGGGAACAACGGAGCTGATCCAGATTTGCTGCGTCATGACCACATTACTAAAATGTGGGCGGGCTTTAGACCCACGGGCCAATCAGAAACGTTGCTGTCAGAAACAATGAGACGTGTTCTGGAAGTAATCTGGTCTGTGTTTACATTAGCATGCTAACACTCAGAGCTAACCTGTGCTGGAGAGAGTGTGTGTGAAGAAGCAGGAAGTCAAAAGGAAGTCACCTTGTGGTAAACCTGAGAGAGAGAAAGAGTTTGAGCTCCATCCTGTTTCAGAGAGAATCCTTGATGTGGTTTGGAACATGATGGCGTTTAATCACGGCAGCGTTTAGCTGAGTCTGCCGGGTAATTCTGATCAGGCATTAGCTCCCCCTCCTCTCTTTAAGCTAAGGACCCGAACCTGCTCTTCTCTAACAGCTGGAACAGAGGGATGTGAGGGATTTCTGAAATGCATGATCTGTTTGGTATTTGGAGCAAAACACTTCATAGAGATGTTTTTATTAGGGCCGGGACTTTAACGCGTTAATTAAGATTAATTAATTACACAAAAATTAACGCGTTAAAAAAATTAACGCATTTTAATCGCACTTATTTTTGCACCGTGGAACGTTTCTCACTGGATGAGTTTCAGGCGTACCGATTATACTGGAGCACCAACTAACGTTCATGACTTCAGACAACAACAAACCACAGTGAACAACAGTGGGAAATGTTGTTTTAAAAAAGGGACGGATGGAAGCGTCGATAAGAGCACGGTTGTGTGCAAATTATGCAAAAAGGAATTCGCATATCACCGCAGCACATCAAGCCTCAAGTATCACCTCAATGCAAAACATATAGCAGCTAGCGTGGAAGCTAGCGTGGACACCAAAAAGAGTGGTACTAAAATTAGTTAATGAGAACCTTTTTACCCCCACGAAAGCAGGGACTTTCTTACGGCTCTCTTGTGAGAAAAGAGCTATATTTCTGATTGGCTGGGCGGATTGAGAACCACGCCCCGTAAAACTCCCAAAAAGTTTTGTGAAGCCGCCATTTTATTATCCTCGCATTAGCATTATTAGCATTAGCCCAGCGCAGAAACGCAGAGAGACTAACTTATGGCAACACAAAATAAAACATGGGAGCGGTGGAGATGAGGAGGTGTCGGCGTTCTGGCGATTTACTCGGAAGGCTTCAGTAGAAGCTGCTGGGACTCCCAGCAGCTTCTACGGAAGCCAGTGGACTTTGGGCGGCAGTATACGCCGTGAAGTGGTTTGCGGCCTGCCAGTAAACCCAAAGCAGAAGAAGAAGAAGTGACGTCAGCGGCTTCATTTGCCTAATCCACCCCCAGGTTCAAAGAGTTCTCATGAACCTTTGTGGGAAAAGTACTGCGGTGTGAATGCGCCTAATGGTATACTAAAATCCATGTGAAAAAAAATTGCTTCTCACTGTTCTCAGGTCAAATATTTATATGCGATTAAAAATGCGATTAATTTCGATTAATTAATTACAAAGCCTCTAATTAATTAGATTAATTTTTTTAATCGAGTCCCGGCCCTAGTTTTTATATATTGTTATAAATCTGAGACCCAGAATATCTGCTAAAGATAGCCTGATAGGAGACCTTTGAAACCCTGTTTGACTCTGAGCAGATTATTAAACCTGGAGTTATTTCAAACAGGAGCTTTGTTTTCTAAACTTACATCTTTTCTTTATTCAGACTGAGGAACTGCAGCTTGTCAGAGATCAGCTGTTCTTCTCTGGCCTCAGCTCTGAAGTCCAACCTCCATCTGAGAGATCTGGACCTGAGTTGGAACAGAGAGGTGAAGGATTCAGGAGAGCTGCTGAGAGATCTTCTGGAGGGTCCAGACTGCAGACTGCAGACCCTCAGGTCAGTTCACTGACTCTCTGTTCCTGCTGGAGATCTCAGGTTTCATCAGATATTCATCCTGATTCTTCTACGTCATTAACTAACATCCATTCAGTTGGAAATGCTGTTTTATTCATACTTTCATTTGTAGCTACTAAAGTAAGAACTGCAGACTGAAATGTCGTCTGACTCTTGAAGGAACTGTAATAGATGTTAGTTGTAAAAAGAAAATCTATGTTTTTAATATTTAGTAAACGATAGCGTCTGAATAAAGTTCATCTGAAGTGATATTAGTTTGACTTTAATAAAGTTCACTTTCTGAAGAAGACATGTTTTTGTTCCCATTCATTTAAATGTTGAGAAACATCTGATTATAAACTGATTTTATCCTCATCATGTTTTCTTTATTCAGACTGTGGGGCTGCAGTTTGTCAGAGATCAGCTGTTCTGCTCTGGCCTCAGCTCTGAAGTCCAACCTCCATCTGAGAGATCTGGACCTGAGAGACAACGATCTGAAGGATTCAGAGAAGCTGCTGAGAGATCTTCTGGAGAGTCCAGACTGCAGACTGGAGACCCTCAGGTCAGTGAGGGGTCTCTGCTGGTTCAGCAGTATGGTATGAAACTCAGGGAGGTGTTTCTCTCTCTGGGGAAACAGATCAGTGATGTTTCCCACTGACTGCAGGCTCTTCCATTCTTCCATCAGCTACAGAAGAACAGCTGAACCTGCAAAGCCACACTTTAGTATCAGCTCTCTAACAGACAGACGGGGTTTTACAGACGAGTGGGAAAGGGGGTCTGTTCTTATGGGATGTTTTTAGTCTCTAGACCAGGGGTGTCCAAACTGCGGCCCGGGGGCCAAATGCGGCCCTCAGCTCATTCTGAAAGGCTAATGAAATATGACCCACAAATGAAACTTGTCTTGTATTGTACTTCTTAAATATATATGTACACATATATTACCCAGTAGTATTCATGTGTTCATAATCCCACCTTTAAAATAAATTCACTCAATTAAAGCTGAGAACATGTTCTAACAAATCTAACTTGATAAGAAAAAAACCCAATAACTTATTTGTATAACAAGCGTGAAATAGAGCCTTCATGTTTCCTGTGATTATAATCAATGTGAAGCTCCTGCTTTAACCTGTTAAGCCCGAAGGTCCCCGCCGGCGGGGACCCTGGGTCTTTTTTTCACGATACTGTGTCTCAGGGGTTCTTAATATTTAAGAACCTATTAATGTGTTCTACCAGATTAACGGAAATAATCTCAGCTAACTGACGATACAAACCATGTTTACCAAAACAAAACACAAGTCTCATAAGAAGCATCTAAATTACCCCTGAGCGAAAAATGCTAACGGACATTGGCACAGAACTCAAGATAAAAGTACCCTTATTACTTATCGTAGCTGCACATACAAGATATCCGATTAAAGCTGAGACTCCATAGATTATGTAGGTATATAGTATCATCACTGAGTGATCCGGACTCGCGACAGGGAAAGCAAATACAGTCATCACAACAACAACTTTACGAAGCTTCTAGGGAGATCGTCTCACAAGTAGCTGTCAATCTGATCAAAGTACGTGTTCAATGGCATTAAAATGAGAAAAAACGCGGCTGAATCTGTTAATCCATAGGTTCTTAACGTCCATGTATAAAAAACTGATTGAATTTATAATCCATAATTCCATTTTTATGTAAAATCGGAGAGTAAATGCTAGCTGCTAATGGTAGCCACCACAGCTAGCTGCTGCTGCTTCCGGTCTCGGCAATGCAGCAGTCTCACACATACACATGACCAAATAAGGACTATGTGGGAGTTCCCCTCGATTCCATTGGCTCTGACGGTCAGAAAGAGATGTCACATGTTAAAATCCAGCAAGGGGGGCCAGAGATATGGAAAATCCACCCAAATGGCCCCAGAAGAGGGTTTTTTTGCTAAATCTGTCTAAAAAGGTCAAATATCACTTGTTTTGCATCAATCTTGATACAGGGTACTTATTATATGTTGTACTTTGGATTCCTAAAGCTTGTAGTCTACTAACCCATCATCCAAGGTTAGTTTTCACTATAAGTACAAAATATTATTTGGACGGACACTATAATTTACAGTTTTTTACCATGTTCAATCTGAATTTTCTTTAAAATAAAAAACATCTATATTGAATCTGACTTTTCTACATCCAACTCACAGGTTTATCATTACTTTGAGAAACAAGATTATTAATTTAACCCTTTTAGAAGGGAAGATATGGTCATTTGTTCTGGGAATGTCATTTTCGAGCCTGAAACCTGAAAAACAGGCTCGGGGTTTAACAGGTTAAGGAATGAGCTGCTGACAGAATAAAGTGAACCCTCTGGAGAGCTGAGAGCGGTTTGTTTCTGAAAGCATCTTCAAGTAACAAGCATCCTTTACCTTCATCTGAGGTTTCTGACTTATAACTGAACTCATGAAGCAACATACCTCTAGAGAGCGGCCCAGACCTTCATATCTCTTTCTGTATGAGGCCCTCGGGGAAAGAGTTTGGACCCCCCTGTTCTCCACCAATGACTGGTTACTTCCTGTCAGCTGAGAGCTGTGGCAGGCAGTCGTAGTGTTTGCAGAGAGGATATGATGGGATGTAGAGCATGAGATCAGGACTCTGAAGCTGACTCAAAGAACTAACACTTATTTAAACTGGATCTCAAGCTGTTGGGTTGTGTTCATCTCTACAGGATCAGAGGACAGCCGTTCAGAGCCACGATCCAGAAGACCTGTGAGTACTGAAACCATGTCCTCCATTCATCCAGATACTGAACTCTTTCATGGAGCATGAGCTCAGAGGAAAACAACACTCTTCATCATTCTGGCTGTTTCTCTTTGTTTCATCATCTTCATCCTCTCTCTCTCCTTCTCCTCTCAGGTGACAGGAAGTGAAGACACACAGAAAGGTGAGAGGTCGTACCAAGTGAAGTTTATTTACTGAGGTTTCACCACTTAATTAAAATGTAGTTATTGCTCAGTGTGTTTCTGGTGTTCCAGACAAGTCTGCAGCTCAGGTTTGATTTGTTCTCAGTTTATTCATCACGGGGCGAGTTCGAGACGTCCAGAGGAGCGTGGAGGCATTTTGGAAAATACAGAAGAAGACTGCAGCTGATGAGAGACTTCCTGTTAGCTCTCCTCAATATGAAATGAACAAAAACAATCCATTGTACTTAAAGCTTTTCTTAAAGATGTGTTGCTCATACACCTGCTGCTGCCTCCCACCACCTCCCACCCACCCCGGCACCAAAGAGGAGACTCCATCGACCCCAGATACCCCAACTCACTCTCCTTCAGGTCAGCTTGGAGCCCCGCCTTTACCTGCCCCAACATCTCACTCTGAACGATGAGGTCATCCGGATATCTGCATACTGAGAGTGGGACGCAGGACCCGGCCAATGAGCTGCTGGAAGGGGGTCCACTGGACTGGAGGGGCTCTTGGATCTGGTGATGCCTTGCTCTTCCTGAAAGAGGACGACAAAGGAGGTGTAAAGCAGCTAAAGACTTAGTAAAGGGTTGTGGGTCATGTGCATTAGGCTAATGCAATGTGTCCGGCAGAGGGGACCTTAAGATGGTCCAACATGTGGCACTTGTAGAGTTCGGTTTCCCAAGCGGGTAGGAGGTTAGTTAGAGCCATCTTAAGCATTGCATAGTGTTGGTGTCTCCATATGAAGTTGAATAATTAAAACGAAAGTTAAAGGTGGGGTAGGTCATTTTGGAGAAACCAGCTCGAGTGCGCTAGAATTTGAAAATACACAACCGGAAACAATCTGCCACTTCCTCACAGAGCCCCTCCCCCAACACACACAAACGCGCACATGACCAATGAGGGCACGAGATAAGTGTGTGCCCCGATGGAAGGCTGACAGGCAGGTAGGCCATCCAGTTACTTTAGCCGGCTCAGATGATTGATCGTGCTTTTTACAGCGCCACGGCTTCAACAGGTGATGTTTCTTTATGGATTTGTTGTCAAAGCACTTCAGATATTCATTGCTATCGGGATGTTAAGAGCATTCCATGGAATATAACAAAAAGTGTATCTCGAGCCGGTTTCTCAAACTTACCCCACCTTTAATATAATCAAACATAATCTTGTATAACCCAAAATGAAAATATTATATTTCATGTTGTTCTATAATCACACTATACCATACTTTATGGGTGTCACTGTTTAAAGGGGGGGGGACAGCTGTCTTCACTCACAGGCTGTACCCCCGACTCAATGGAAAACTACTGGAGCCCCAAAATGTGTTTCTACCATAGGAGAATATGTCTGGATGTCCAGTCCTGCACACCAGAGGTCATGACCTTTCCCCACAGGGTATAAAGGAGGTGTCTTTGGGTTTTCTTTGTGTTCCTATGTGCAGCATAAAAGCACTGGCTGAGAGGGAGAAAGCTCCAGAGCGGGGCTTCTCCTTGGAAGGTTCTCTCAACTTGGTAAGATCTCTCAGATTGATTGGTGAATTGTTGAATGAAAGCTTTAATGTGTTTTTAGCACCGACTATTCATGAGGAGGTCCTCTGGATTCTGTCAGATTACACTTTTAATGTTTCAACTGAAGAGGGCAGCTGAAGTTAGAATTTAGTGTAAGAAATGTGAAACTGAATTGAGGTTTTATATTAGAAAAGTACCACAGCATGATATGTTTTGTATGATTGTCATATTGTAACGAGAGAAGGTAAAAACCTGTTTAAGTGTGGACCATTTTCTTCAAATAAAATCATCCCACCTTTTTGGATTGGGAGAACTTTAAATAAATCTGCGCTGTCCTCTCCTGCTTAAAGGTAAGATTGCACCCTACACACTTAGGCAGGACCACACCCCATTACTGATACCAAAATCCTTCGGGATCGCTTAAACAGATTTAGAGAGTCGTCTGAACTGAAACAGCAGTTAATTGAACCTGGTTCTTCAGGAGTTAATAGAGCACTGGCGAGCCGTGACTTTTATACCTAGGCCCAGTGACGGCTGGTGGAAAATATTTTTGGTGGGGCTGTTGATATAGTGAGTAAAAAAAGTGTTTGGGGAGAAATGACCCATTAAATGAGGACTTCTGGTGATGTAATGGCGCGTTTCCAGTGCAGCGCGGAGCTCGCTTTATTGCTGCGTTCAGACCATAGACTGTATATATAAATGGACGTAGGGTCCGTGACGTCACCCATAGGATTCTGCAGAGTTGCAGTGAAGCCCTTAGTAGGCGGAGTCGGCCACTAATGGCTCAACAGTGACGTTAGAGTTCAACTCCCGCCTTCTCCAAATAAGGGCAAAGAGGCGGAGCCGAGGCGGGACCTGCTGCCACCGAGCTGAAAGTTCCAGAGCTAGCTGAAGCTACCAAGCTAAGCTAACATGCTCCCCATCTGCACGCTGCGGTCGCATTTTACGTTTCTAAGGTAAGCGGACATGAAACTATAAATAATAATCTAAGTTATTGAGCTTTTAGCATAATACTTCAGAATCTTAAAACCCCTTAACGTTTGTATGCAATTGTGCTAAATTCAACACTGGAATCAAGCAAATATTAATATGTTTGCATGACATTAGTTATTTATATTTTGATATCACTTAACTATACGTTTAATACATTTAAGTCAAGCTAAGGTACATGTGATGGAAGCTAGTTAGCGCTCTTACCTGTGAGGCCTCCAACAGCATAATAACCAGACTATATCATTAAAACTAAGTACCAGTTCTAGATCATTGACTTTAGACAAACAATTCAAAAGATAAAATGTATTTAAAGGCCAATCTTTATTTGAAGGTGCCTCTTAACCTGAGATATTAGTTATACAGTAATAGTATTGACAATCTAAAAAAACTGAGCAACTCAACAGTCAACTTTATGTTTCTTATTGTCTAAAGCATTTATTATTTTCATTTTCCCAATCTCATATTCAGTGTGGACGGATTGAGACAGCATGGTGTCCAGAGAGCAGCAGAGACTTCATGGAGAAACCTCCGTGTGATGGACGTCCTGTCTGTTGGTTTGGAGAGGACTGAGGGTATTTCCTCTGCGAGGAGGACCAGGCCTGATGGAGGAGCCCATGCTGGGCACAGCTGATACCAACTGCACAGGCCTAGTCTGTCACTTTATTTGACTAAATGTGTTTACTTATACATTTAATAGGTTTACACCTTCTGTCCATATGTGCTTTTGGTTCACATTTCAATAAATTGTATTTGCACTCCTTTTGTCCATTATTCTTACTGAAAATGTTAGATTACACATTCACATCTGACTGAAGAAGATTGGCCCCATTTATTTGTGACGTTGCAAAACAAGGTACATGTTGTGAAGCTCATAAAGTGAGGCAAATATAAATAATCAGCTGATGGAGTGTAGATGTGGAAATAGCTGCAGGACGGGGACGTGACAATAATGATAAAAAAAAAACATTTTAAAAAACAAACTGAAAAGGAAGTGACGAACGAATTTCAACACCTCAAATACGGAGCGAAAAGTTAAACCAGAAGAATCAAGACTATGAGCTCCCACTAAACGACTCACAGTCTGAAAATTACCATTAATAAAAACCCTGAACGTTTACTTTTCGTTTTAAACATCGTTTTAAGGTGTAAACCTATGGTGTTAACGTGTCATTTAGAGGTGTAAACGTGTCATTTAGAAATGCGCGTTCCCGTGACAAGGGGGGCATTTCATGACGGGGAGGCATAATGTGACACAACACCGGCTCTACCCCACAGTTTGCCGCTTGGTTCAGACTGGACACGATGCGAATATTCGCTTCGCTCTAAACGCTCCTATCGCATCGCTCTAGTCGCTCGAGTTTCACCACGGCTGCCAGCTGTGTTTACTCGCATCATTCAAACAAGACGCGCTGGCTCGGGAGCTACAACTACAACAAGATGAACATATTTGACCGTGATTTAATTGTAATACACGTTTCTAAATGATGCCGACGTAACAACATACTGATACCGGTTAGTAAAAACCATGAATTAATGCTTTGACAAGTCTGCAGACAGACGGCAGAGAAAACCCTTTAAAATGCGTGTTTTCTGAATGGAGCTTGGCTAAGCTAACGTTATATATGTTCCAACCGTCCACACTCACAACAACGGCCTATACAGACATAAATAAACCAGCGACTGTATTCTCCATGACACAGACAGTCTGTGGTTTGTACTTGTTTAACTTTTGTCTAGTTTCTGAACAGATCGTATCTGTCCCCGGTGTTCCGGATTAACTGGTTCCCCGATCAACTGGTTGACAGATGTGGAGGCGTGGCCTTCGACTGAAATACACATTTCGATCGCTTCTTCTGTCGTTTACATACATATTTTGGTATATTAGGCTTCGATAGGAACACTTTGATGCACATTCAGTACCAGTGTGTGAGGTTGTGCTTACGATGGCGATATCCGGACCCGAACAGCGAGGACTACAAAAATAAAAACGAGTTGACATGGGGATGTCTGTTCAAAACATTGCGAGCTCCAATAAATCATTTAAACCAGCTATTGTTGCCAGACTAATTACTGAATATCGTTCTTAATGTGATACCAAGTCCATCTGAGACCTGTGTACACCTTCAGACAGCCTCCAAGTGAAGCACACGTTGTTTACTCACAGTTTGAAAGCAGCGTGGAGAAGTCTTCAGCTGTGTTAAGTTGTGATCCGCTCGAATACATCATTAAAACCAGCTATTGTTGCCCGACTTATCACTGAATATCGTTCCTAATGTGATACCAAGTCCATCTGAAACATGTGTACACCTTCAGACAGCCTCCCAGTGAAGCGTACGTTGTTTACTCAGAGTTTGAAAGCAGCGTGGAGAAGTTTTCAGCTGTGATAAACTGTGATCCTCTCAGGTAAACTGTGATTCGCTCAGGGTCAACTGGGATCCACCCATGGGAAAATGGGATCCGCCCAGGTTAAACTGTGTTACGACTTCTGTCGCTGTGACCAGCGATCATGTTTAATATGAAAGACACACACATCTCCATGCCTTATAAAAACGGCATTCTGCAGCACTCATCCAGATAACATGCTGTTAACTCGTTTTGCAAAGATAGCAGCAGAAATGTCATTGCTGCATGTGCAGGGATATTAGACTTTAAAATGCTGATGGGTCATTAATGTTGGTCTCGGCAAACAATATTAGGAATCCTTTATTCAAACCACATAATATTCAGTGTCCATCGACATGAAAATAACAAAAAAGTTCATGCTGGACTCAAACCCGAGTCCCAACAGCAAAAGTCACTCCAGCCCTGCATGAGTGCGCCACAGATCAACACGAGGTATCGAACCACCACACTATAATATTTTAGATTAACCTTGTTAAAAAGTTCCAGAAAAATGCAACCCGACCATCATTTATAATGTGAGCGAATGTACACTTTAAGCCATATAATATACATATTATAATATAGTATAGCCTACTGACTGAGGTCTGTATCAAGCCTCATTAAGACCCACCGAGATCAGATATCCTAGTTTATCAGCCTGCGAGCCCACATTATGTTGTGATAAGTGTTAGTTTTACATATAAGTGTGTTAAGGTTAATCTAAAATATGATAGTGTGGTGGTTCGATACCTCGTGTTGATCTGTGGCGCACTCATAACGCGCAGGGCTGGAGTGACTTTTGCTGTTGGAACTCGGGTTTGAGTCCAGCATGAACTTTTTTGTTATTTTCATGTCGATGGACACTGAATATTATGTGGTTTGAATAGAGGATTCCTAATATTGTTTGCCGAGACCAACATTAATGACCCATCAGCATTTTAAAGTCTAATATCCCTGCACATGCAGCAATGACATTTCTGCTGCTATCTTTGCAAAACGAGTTAACAGTCACATGTTATCTGGATGAGTGCTGCAGAATGCCGTTTTTATAAGGCATGTAGATGTGTGTGTCTTTCATATTAAACATGATCGCTGGTAGATAGCCACAGAAGTCGTAACACAGTTTAATCTGGGCGGATCCCATTTTCCCATGGGCGAATCACAGTTTACCTGAGAGGAACAGTTTTACACAGCTGAAGACTTCTCCACGCTGCTTTCAAACTGTGAGTAAAGAACATGTGCTTCACTTGGAGGCTGTCTGAAGGTGTACACAGGTCTCAGATGGACTTGGTATCACATTAAGAACGATATTCAGAAATAAGTCTGGCAACAATAGCTGGTTTAAATGATTTATTGGAGCTCGCAATGTTTTGAACAGACATCCCCGATCAACTCGTTTTTCTTTTTGTAGTCCTCGCTGTTCGCGTCCGGATATTGCCATCGTAAGCACAACCTCACACACTGGTACTGAATGTGCATCAAAGTGTTCCTATCCAGCCAAATATACCAAAATATGTATGTAAACGACAGAAGAAGCGATCGAAATGTGTATTTCAGTCGAGGCCACGCCTCCACATCTGTCAACCAGTTGATCGGGGAACCAGCCAATCCGGAACACCGGCTGTTTGAAGAGCAAGCATGGGAAACAAAAGACAGCATTTACCTGTTTGCATCGTTTGCATCCAGCTAGCCTCGTTGATACGTTTTGTCTTTTTCACGAGCTTGCTGCGATATATACAAATCGGGTTGGTCCGGTCCAAAGTCTTTAAGCAACAGTTTATCTCCCAAACTTCTCCTTTCGAAAGGATTGGAGATTAGCTCTTGAACGGAATTGGGCGGGGACCGAGGTCCGGCGACTCCACCTGCACACAAAGCCATTAGGCTTGTTTGAGACGCGTTGCGGCTCGTCTCGAAAGTAGACGAGAGTAGCCGATGGCAGCCGGGGGAGG